ACTCTTGTACCGAGCTGTTATTTTTGCTCTGGCAGCTTTCCTGCTAGCTTTAAACAGGTCTGGCCATTTTCCTCTGACCTTCTCTCATTAACAAGGTGTTTTTGCCGACAGAACTGCCACTGACTGCATGTTTTTTTTTTTATCATGTCATTCTCTGTAAACCTTTGACACTGTACTGTGTGAAAATCCCAGGAAGCTGGAAGCACCACATTTGGCACCGACAATCATACCACATTGAAAAACACTCAGATCACACATCTTAGCCATTCTAATGCTGATCCAAACAGTAACTTATCCTTTTGACCCTGCTTGTGTGCTGTAAGTATTCAGTAGCAACCACATGACTTGCTATTGGGAGGAGCATTATATACAGTACTGTGCAAAATGCTTTTTGTCAAAGAAAATATTTAAAGCTGGTTAGTAAGTAACACAATGAAAAGTAAGAATTTCTCGTGTTTGCCAAAAAGCTGCTGATATCGAGTTTGACAGTTAGATGAACATCCGCTTCAATTCCCAAACCTCCCCTCTGGGGCACCTCGACCAGCTCACTTAATTAATTAATTGATTAATTAATTGATTAATTAAATGATTTGATGAGGTATTGATTAGTGAAGCAAGGTATGCTTGTGATCCAGTGAAACCCATTGGTGTATATTCTGGGGTGACTTTTTGAGGGGTTTTGGAATGGCTATGCTGACACACTTTGACAGACATACATACAGTAATATGGACGATAGTATTGGGACACCCAGCCGTTACACCTACAAGAACTTCTATGACATCCCATTCTAAATCTATATTTTAGAATATGTTCTCCACATTAATATGGAGTTGGTCCCCCCTTTGCAACTATAAGAGCTGCCACTCTTCTGTGAAGGCTTTCCACACGTTTACGTAGCGTGTCTGCGGGATTTGCCCATTCATCCAGAATAGCCTTTGAAAGGTCAGGCACTGATGTTGGACGTGAAGGCCTGGCTCACAATTTCCGTTCTACTTCATCTCGAATGTGTCTAATGGGGTTGAGGTCAGGGCTCTGTGCAGGCCAGTCAGGTTCTTCCACCCCAAACTCACCCAACCATGTCTTTATGGACCTTGCTTTGTACACTGGGACTCAGTCATGCGGGAACAGAAAAGGCCCTCCCCCAGACTGTTCCCATGAAGTTGGAAGGATAGAATTGTCCAAAATGTCTTGGTGTGCTGAAGCATTAAGAGTTCTCTTCATTGGAACTATGGGGCCTAGCCCACCCTCTGAAAAACTACCCCATACCATTATCCCTCCTCCAACAAACTTCACAATTAGCGCAACGCAGTCAGGCAGGTAAAGTTCTCCTGGCATCCACAAAACCCAGACTCGTCCATCAGACTGCCAGACAGAGAAGCGTGATTTGTTACTACACAAACCACATTTCCACTGCTCCAGAGTCCAGTGGCACCTTGCTTTACACCACTCCATCTGACGCTTGGCACTGCGCTCGGTGATGTGAGGCTTGCATGCAGCTGCTCGGCCATGGAAGCCCATTCCATGAGGCTCCAGTTTTTGCACTGGGGTCAATGCCACAGGAAGTCTGGAACTCTGCAGTTATTGAGTCAAATGTTTTCAAGTCTGACTGCATGGCTGGGTGCTAGATTTTATAACCTGTGGCAATCGGTCTGAATGAAACACCTGAATTCAATGATTCAGAGGTGTGTCCCAGTACTTTTGTCCTTATAGTGTATCATAGTTTTATACCACATGAAAGTCCTTTAAACATAGTTCTCATTGACTTCCTAAGACTTTGGCATGGAAATGTATGTACTTGTATGGCTAACTACATATGCACAAAGACCAAACATGATATATATGAGCGAATGATAAATTTACTGAAGCCAGAGTGTGTTGCATGTGTTGCATAATCTCCCAACATCCCCACATTACAGATTCAACCATCTGCCAAGCTGTAATTACAGAACTTGTGCATGTGGGTTATGACTCACCTTTCTATTTGTTACCGTGGCTTTAGAAACAGAGGGCAGCTATATTCAAACAAAAACCTTAATGTTGCATTTTTCTAGTCAGTCATGATGATCAGATCCATACGACAGAGCCGTTCCCTGTCCTGACATTTAATAACTTAATAATTTAATCAGCGTTTTTTTATGTTTGTGCAGGAAAATAGTATTTTCCAAATTGTATATTGTGTGTCTGAAAATTTTAAGTAAGTACGAAATGGGCGTTTTGTATTCTGTGTCCTGGCGAGTGGATTATTGTAAGTATTTGGCAAACTAATCTTGTTCCCAGCATGCATTTCACCATTGTCCAACAGTAACAGCAGCAAGGTCTCATGGGATACAGAGGGTCAGAACCAGACCAGAATTCTCTTTTATTTCCTTGTAATGCAGCTTCCTTTGGAGCCATATGACCTTGGATGTCATTTGGAAAGAAAATACATATGAATACTGGACAGAATTCTGCTGTGAGGTTGGAAAACACACCTGGGTACAGGAGACTAGAGGGGCTCATGTGTGATACTCCCCCCCCCCCCCCCCTTCCCCTCCCCCAACAGTCTGTCAGTGCAGAGAACCCACTGAGGCAAGGTATGGGGGGAGGGGGGCAGGTAAGGATGAAACAGGCTGTCAGCTCTGTCCAACACTCACTGATGGCTTTAAAGCAGTGTTTCCCAATCCGGTCCTCGGGGACTCACAGTCAGTCCATGTCTTTGCTCCCTCCCAGCATCCTTCCAGATGAAGCCCCTACCAGACTGTACACATTATTGCTGGGAGCTGGGAGGCAGCAGAAATGTGGCCTGTCTGTGGGTCCCCGTGGACCGGATTGTGGAACACTGCCTTAGAGGGGTAGGATCGCTGTTATTGGGGTCACTGTTGCAGAATGACACTGAGCCTGACCGGTGCTGCCATGGGCTTTGCCCCAGCAGACTATCCAAACACTACACCCTGCAGGAGTCCTGGCCTATTGTTGATTTTCGATTGAATACTCTTCCCTGTTGTTTCCTTATTTATTTAACCCATGGCCTCATTTCCAGGTGGTGAATTTATTGCAACATCTTTCTCAGCATGGCTACTGTATTACCTGAGCTATGGTCTCCTAATCCATCTTCTCTCCATTTTCTGTAATCACTTTTGTGACACAGGGTCACAGTGAGCTTGTAGCCTATATCTCTCTGAAATACAGCATTTATGCAAGATATGTATGCATGTATGAACTGTTGAAACTATTGAACGGGGGTGTATACTGTATAAATCATCCGGGCGGGGCCACAGGGGCACTGGCCTCAGCTGAAAGCTGATGGGCTGCCAGAGTGCCCCCTCCCCTGTCAATCATCAATTTGAAACATATAATTGGTTAATGATAAGGTTGGCTTGTATGAATGTCCCCTGTTATACAACGTGCCTTGAAAAGTCGTAGAACCGCCCCTGGGTTTGAAGCTCTTGATTCAGTTTCTGCCCATAAATGGTGCTTTGTGATCTTCATCAGTAGCTCGGAGTAGGATGTTTCCTTTTTAACGCCCCAGGGGACAGCCGCGCAGTGCCTCCCCCATCACTGCCAGTTGTTATCGGGACAGGCGCGATGTCACACTGAGATTGCCCTCAACTCGGCACAAAGCGGGACTCAGAATACCCATAATCCCGCGGGAGGGTGATTGTATCCAAGGCAGAAATGCCCCTGAGTTCCTACCCACCCACCCCAGTGGAAAGGCACCATCCTCCGGCCTCTGGGATCTGCCCTGCGGATGGAAGGCTAACAGCCTGGTGCTGCACATCCGTCACTTCGACTCTGTTTGTTAATTGATAACTGCAGTAGTCTGCTCCCCGGAGGGGGTTTGCCGCAGTCATTTGGGTAAAGGACAGAGTTAGCAGCAGGACTGAACGAGGAGAGGCGGCGCTCTAGACGGTGAATGATTATGACCTGGGATGTAGGCTGCTAGCTCAGCGCTAAGCTAAAGGTCATAGTGGTCGTGCCTGCACTCAGATTTCGCTGGCTATACCGTTAAATAGGCAGCGGAAAATCTCAATTCTTTTTGGAATCCCATTAAGTTTTTTGGTAGCATCCAAATTCTCGAGGCATTCATAGAAGTTAGTCACCTGACTGAGTTACTCACCATTACTCTTCGGTTCACAAGTTGTAACGTACCTCATATTTTAGTGCTGTTGTTGTTCTAGAACATTCCATTAGTGGGCTAAGCTCTTTGTACATGAACAGAAGACAGTCTGGCTTCATTTCAAAACCTAATATTGGTGTTTCAAAGGTATAGGTACAACATAGTCTCTATAATGTTATTATCCCATGCTCCGCAAATGGATATTGGATATGAACATTTAACTCTTAGAAAGGAGTGACGGTAATCAAGATTTGATGGTCTTGTCTTTTCCAGTTAGCCCATGTATATGGAGAGTATTCTTCCGTCTTAACGTGGCTAATTTAATTGCCTGAATGAATTTTCTTTATTTGCTATAATAGCAGGGGGCCGGGCTGAAATTTGCCCTAACTACACATTATAGAGATTACAGCATTGGCCTAAATGTTTCAAAGCAGAACGATGTTATTGATTTCCAGAAGTGTCTCTTTTCGGCCAGGTGAATGCTGGTGAGAAGAGCTTCCCCTTTACTGTTTATGCACCAACACTAGGTGGGTGTTGAATATGTGAGAGCAGAGGAATGCTTAATCCGAGGATAACCCCCCCCCCCAATGCAATTAGTAGGGTGGAGTAGATAGCGTGTGTCTGTGCCTGTTCTTAACCTGACAGTCCTATGAGAAAGTGTCTGCTTGTTGCGTAAAAAAGGCAGTCATCCAAACTCGGAATGCTCCAGAGGCGTATTATCAAAAATGCCAACTGGTTAGATATTGAAATATATATCAGCCTTTTAAATCAAGGTGGCATTCTCCATTCTAAGGCGCATATTAATATTCAGAGTGTTGGTCAAAGGCACAAAAATAGCTCAGCGACACTGTCAGCTCCGTCTGCTCGTTCTCCTGCAGTGACTCCTGGTCTTTGACATTGCAGATATATAAAGTCACCAGACCCAGGAGCAACAGTGGCCCTGTGAAGAGCCTCCTGTACTGTGGTGTTACGAGCACGGCATCAGATAACCAGCCACTGCAAGGTCTTTCTCACTGAAGCTGCAGGTTTTTCCCACAACTCCTTGTATGGCTTTAAGGGAGAACAGCTAGTCAACTCTAAGTCAATGCTCATTTGCAGGAAGTGCATTTATCATTAATTATTAAATGTGGTATGTTGCTGTCCTTAGGTACACGTATTTATTAATATATGTATATTTTTCTGGAGCTATTTTAAGTGGTAGCTTCGAATCTGAGGTGGCATAACAGGCAAGCCCATGGTCTGAAGCTTTTGGGTTATTCTCTTGTTTTTTTGCATTATTGGTTGTAGGCTTACATGATTTTGACTTGTGGCGTTGTAAATGTGAAACTCATGCCAGTTTTACTTACACAAAAAATGTTCTGAGGGCAGAACAAAAAATGGTTCTGAGAAATAACCAGTTGTAGAGGAGGTGGGTCCCTGCAGCTAGAAGAGGGGGGAACAACCAATCAGATGCCTTGGTCCCGCCTCCTCATGTTGCTCGGATCCACCTCCTCTATAGTCGGATTGGTTATCTCTCAGAACCATTCTTTTGTTTCGCCCGAAACGTCTGCCCTCGAGTCTTTCGTCCCACAAGACACCCAGTGTTTGTACACCAACGCCAAGCTTCTCAAAGCTGAACCCATTAAAGATCAAAGTGAGCAGCCTTTTTTCTGCTTGCCATCATCTTCGGTTCCTTGTTATGAAAATCAATTTATTGTACTTTTTTTCTGGACTGACGTTAGGCAGCGAAGAAACAGACGAAACTCATGACTAATCGACAATATTTCAAACATGTTGCCATCCTCTCTTTCTCCTACCTGGCCACAATCTGTCATTCTGTTTAATCTGCAGACGCTGAAAAGGCACTATCACACACGCACATGTACCTGTACACGTTGGGCCCACACAGAAGGTGTTACATACACCTGGTGGTCCCTGCTTCTCTATGGGGCCTTAGAGCTCCTGTTCCGGGAACAACGGGCTGACTTACCCTTGTGGACATTCTCCTCAGTAAGATGCTAATTCAGCGATAGTTCAAAGAGGTGCACAACCGTGCAAACATCTCAACGTTTTACATTTTTCAAATAAAGCGTACAAACCAAATGCCCGTGATATTTGTAACTAATGAGGCGCAATGCTTCCTCAAAACATCCAGTAAACTCCATGTTTAGTTTTAGTCTCACAGTATGCCTCTCATTAAAACAGTTTTCCTGAGTTAACGGGCATATCAGAAATGTCCTAATAAAACCTTTTTAGGAAAAAAAATTCAAAGGGAAAAACTCAACATCATTCATCTGGCCTGGTGAATGTGGAAAAAAGAATCTTTTCATTCAACTTCTTTTTCTGCTAATTAGCTAATTGATCCCAGTGCCTATTAATTTCCATTTGGTAATAAATCAAACCATTAAACCCACACCCTCCACCCCCATGTACGGAGTGAGATCTAATTTCTCTTGTCGCAGCCTATTATGCAGTACATTCGCCCTGACACAGAGAGAAAATGGACAGTTCTTTTCTGAAAAACGATTGCTTCCTTGCATTGCCCTTCAGTTACAAATGTGCCCCCACCGGTCAATAAATCAACCGCTCTCCGTCACATTCCCTCAGCCTGTATGCATCCCTCAGTTTGCATGCTGTCCGGTGAGCCAGATTTCCAGTATTTCGATTTCGATCACAAAGACCCTGCTCGGTTGCAGCAGATGTCCCTCCTCACTTCTGAAAGCAAAGTGAAGAGAGAGCATGGAGATGAAGGATCACACTTAAGCGGGTATTGTCTTATATATATGGTGGAATGCTGCAAAAAATCCAGGAAGTCAATGAATCCGAGATGAGGGGATCCGCAGGCCATCGGTTTGGTGTCCGATCCATGGAGAGGAAGCTAAAAACACGCGGGCTGCCACTCGGGGCACCACTTAGCATTTCTAAGATGGATTGAACCACAGGAATTGGCACGCTGCCCAGCACCTGGATGCCACGCTACAGTAGCCAAGATAGCCAGGCACGCTATCTGCATAGCATGTCCACTTAACCCAAACTAAAATAAACGCAAACCAGGCAATTTTTTACAGAGTGGAACAACATAGCACAAGGCTCGCTGAAGTGTTTGTCGACCAGCTGGTTCTATTTTTGCGAGCTGCGTTCGGTAATAAGAATTCTTGTCTTCATTTCTCTGTGTCCGCCGTCCGTTTATTATTGATAGAGGCTAATTGTTCAATCAGACACAGACATCACAATGCAGGTAAAGTGCCAATTTCCAGCCCCATTCTTGGATCTACCAGGGCTACTTGCCGTTTTTTTTCCCAGTTATATTGGCAGTACTCATTTGAAGATCATCCGACTTGTATTTACGAACAGACTGACATAAAGCCTAATATATTAAAAATTCAGGTTCAGTACAATGGTTCATAATAACACTACTTTGTGACCATTGTGAAAACATTGCATGGCTTAAGCGGCCCGTCGGCTCAAGGTACGGTACAATACCATAGGTAGTTATTTTTATTATTACTATATAAGTATTATTGTTATTGTGTACTGCATTTCTTATTTTTCCGATTTACCTACAAATTTGACTTAAAAGCTTAGGAAAAGGATGTTGTTCATACCCTGGGGGCTGCCTGTACTTGATGTGTTTATTAGAGTCACTGCCCAATAAGAGTGATGAGCGCGACCTTCTGCCAGTGTGTTTAATCCCAGTGCCAGTGTGTTTAATCCCAGTGCCAGTGTGTTTAATCCCAGTGCGATGACATCGCTCTGCAGATCTAAAGCCCTACAGTTGCCCTGTGGAGATGCTGCAGAAAGTCAGAAGGTTCCACTGTATCCCCCCCCCCCCCCCCCATCACAGTGTATTGATGTGATCCTCCCTAACTTGTGTCTTCAGTACGCCCACCTCTCAGGCTCCTGTGCCTCCCTCCGCTGCCCCCGAAACTCCCTGTCAGTCACACAAATTGTTATTGATTATGTAATTGAAGGCATGAATGCCGGCCTTTTTGTCATTGACTGGGAGTTTAATTCCGGCCTGGGTTTAACAAAGAGTGACTCCATTGCACGTGGAAATGACGCCGGTGAGCTGGAGGCGTGCTGCCTGAAAGGGAACTCAGGCACCAATCCAAACCTTTCATTCAAACGGCTCTTCGCCTTTCATTCGCCATCGTTGCTGCTGCTGCAGAGCTGAGCTACAGTACGCATTGGCTGAATTAGCGCTGTGACGCTACATGTCGATGGCGCTTTCTGGGTGGCATGCGAAGGCCGCCATGCAGTGGCAGTGAGATCAAAGGGAAACAATATCCGCCTCTGCACTGCATCCTTTTCCCATCGACTTAAACCTAATTTGAATTTCATTTCCAAAAACGTGCGAGTTTTTGCTAATGTTCTGACATCAACACCTACAGGCAACAGACATGTACCTTGGTGCAATATTAGACAGTAAAAGTGAATGGATGTTTCCAGAAACGTAACCTTGGGCGGTGGAACATTTTCGGTGTAAATAGCCAACGGGGGGGAACTTTGATTTTGTGTGTTACCACTTCCCAGTTGAATTTATGGTCCGTTAAGTTGGGTCTGATATTAGATCCAGGCACTTGACGTCCCGCTGTAATGAAATCCAAGACGAAAAAATGAGAAAAAATGCTCAAAGCAGATGAACTGTAAAGTTGACAGCTGAAACCTACTGGGATTTGCGGCAATCAGCTAAGTGTGCTGAAGTGTTGGACACGAGCCTTTTCCATCTCCCCTGCCTGTGCATTATCATGTGCAGTCAAGAACATAGGCTGACCTGTACCGTTAAAATTACAATCTATATAACCATGTTGCATTGTGATGTCATTAATAATTGGCCTCGTAATTGGCTGTCAGTGACCGGCAACAAGCGAATGGTGCCCGATTCTGCACGGAGGATCTCCAATTGTGAAACATCCTTTTGAGCTCTGATGAAAACACAGTAGGTAGAGGTTGATTAAATTACGAAGCAAGTAACTTTGAAATAACTTATTGCTATAATTTTATTGTCATTTAAAAACCTTATCTCTCTCCTTTGGAAAAATTCACTATTGTAGTATTGTAAAATGTTTTATCTTCATACCTTCTCTCCTTTTAGCCACCAGCCGCTACTGAAATACAATTACCAAAGCTCCCAAAGACCTTCAAGCCACGTTCTAGTGATTTAAAAGCAGTCAAATAATCCAAACAAAATGATTACTACAATTTCTCAGAGATGATGAGGTTACATTGGATAAGGGCCAGAATGTCGTTTGCCAACATAAGTTGATTTAATTCATAGTCAGACCTTTCCCAGTTGCATCCAGAGGAAACTGTAGCACAGGGAATTTTTATGTTGTAAAAGATTTTTTTTTTCCCATGTGCACCAGTTATAAAGGTAAGAAATGTTTGGTTTACGCCACTTCACTTTTATGAAAGACCTACATTAAACCCTGTTTTCACTAACTGAAAGAAATCCGAAGAGGATATTTTTTTATGAAAAAGGAGAAAAGCTAAAATAACGTTTAGCATTTGTTTGTGAGGGAGGCAATCATAGACATAAAGTCATGCACCACATAATTATAATCATGATATAGATACTGTAGGCTATACCATTTAGGTTTGTGCCAGTACACTTTATGATGATCTCAACTGATTAACTAATCATTTCTCAGAACGTATCCATCACTAAGCAGCACATGACTGTATTGTTTCTGGTGAGAATACACTGTATAAACATTACTTCTACTTTAGATAGGGTCTGAATTTGTCATGCTTTCACTATATGTTAGTGTTATTTAAAATTTTATGTGTTGTTTGCTATGGTTTGGTAGGTTAATTTTTTGGTCCGGGAATGCTAAGAAATATTTCCTTTATAGAAATGTTTCTTCTCTTTGTGCCATTTTGTCTTGTGAAAGCTATTTCTGGATTGCAAGGTTATTATTATCCTCAAGCTACTTTGAAACAATACTCATTTATTGTGAGACAGTCTTCAGTGCTTTCTTCATATTAATAATGCATTCTAAATTTAAACAGATCTAAGGTTAG